AAATGCTTTTTCTGCATCTATCGATATTATCATGCAGTTCTTTTCCTTTTTCTTGTCAATGTGATAAATAATGATGGTGGAAAGTGAAATTCTGGAAGTCATGTATTCTTTTAAAATAATTTTACTGGGGGCTCAAACAGCTCTTATACATAATACATACATACATCCCCTGTGCCAAGCACATTTTTACATTTGTTGCCATCTTCACTTTCAAAACATTTTCTTTCTACTTGAGCCCTTGGTATCAGCTCCTCATTTTTTTCCCTACCTGCCCCACCCTCCCTCCCTCATGAACACTTGATAATTTATAAATTGTTATTATTTTGTCATATCTTACACTGAAGGCTGTCTCCCTTCACCCACTTTTCTGTTGTCTGTCCCCCTGGGAGGGGGTTATATATAGATCATTGTGATTGATTTCCCTTTTCTTCCACCATCTTTCCCTTCCCCTCCTGGTATGGCTACTCTCAATATTGGTCCTGAGAAGTTTATCTGTCCTAGATTCTCTGTGTTTCCAGCTCTTATCTGTACCCATGTAAATGCTCTGGTCTAGCTGGATTTATAAGGTAGAATTGGGGTCATGATAGTGGGGGTGGGGGGCTGGGGAGGCTTGGAAGCATTAAAGAACTGGAGGAAAGTTGTATGTTCCAACTGAGCTATACTGCACCCTGACTGACTCGTCTCTTCCTTGTGACCCTTCTGTAAAGGGATGTCCAATTATCTACAGATGGACTTTGGGTCTCTACTCTGCACTCACCCCTCATTCACAATGATATGATTTTTCTGTTCTGGGTCTTTGATGCCTGATACCTGATCCCATCAACACCTCATGATCACACAGGCTGGTATGCTTCTTCCATGTGGGCTTTATTGTTTCTCAGATAGATGGCCAGAAGTCATATTTTTATAAGGAATAGGCTACCCTTTTAATGGAATTATTTCTCCTTGGTCATTCAATAAATATTTATAAATAATCTATATGTCCCCACCCATATTAATTATGGGTAGAGTTAGGTAAGAAATTTCAAAATTGAAATATAAATACACATTAAAAACAATTCCCCCAAACATAGAATTCAAGCTGTGTGTTCAGAAAAATAAAAAAGATGGGCTCAATTTTCAGGTCACAATGTGTGGGCGGTTGTGGTAGTGGGGATGACGATAGATGAAACAAAATATATCTGATACCAAAAAAGCGCAAAAATAAGAGACCAATGAACTTAGGTGTCAAGATTGTGTTTGATGATATGTTGCATAAGTTAATTTTCTGTTAAGACCTAGACAGTGCACAGTGACCACTAGCAACTGCTTTGAAATGAACCATGTGAGGAGGTCTTGGATAAAGGGGAAGAAAACTGTGAAGCAAAACTCTAAGTCATGAAAGAGATCCAGCATCCTGGTGGAATAGAAGAGTAAGACTATGGCTCTTGGTCACCCATCAGGTCTGGAGCTGAACTTACTTCTGTAGTAGCGTAATCAAACCATTTCCGATGTAAAGGGCAGGATTGACCCAATGAGGAAGTTCAGAAGGCTCTGAATGAAGAGGGAGTGGGAGTAGGAAGCACCAGCAGGAAGCAGCATCAGTGATGGTACGTTGAGAGAATTGCAAGGGATGAAGTGAAACAAAATGTGTCTGATGTGTTGAGAGTAAAATTGATGACTCGCTCTGTAAATCTTCACCTAATTTATAGTGGAAAGTTTAAATGTTCCCTCTTGTTAATCAACAAAGTGTTTTTAGTAAACATATATTTAAATGCATGCAAATGAGAAACAGTAATAGAGATTACTTCTGAAAGAAGGAAAGTTGATTTATGTGTATTTCAAATTGTATTTGTTTATATTTTAATCTGATAGAAAGGAAATATGGGTAAAATTATTCGTACAAGTTATATCTTAGTGTTAACCTTCTGGATTTCTAGTAACTGTTTTTGTGTCATTTTAATTTTTCCACCCATTTTATCAGTTTGGTCTTGTCATGTTTCCCTGAATTCATCTAAAGCTGTTTCTATGTTTTCCTTGATTTTTCTGGAGCTTTATTAATCTTTCTGTTCATTGAGAAAGTCTACGTTCCATTATTTTTAATTCCTTATCATGGAGTTTCCGAGCCCTTCTTCCTGAGAAAGGTCTTCTGGCTCTGTATATTGGTCACTTGTTTGGGTCACTCTATCTTGTTCATGTGAACTGAAAGTATCTGTTATCGCTGAAACATTATGGTATGTTTGTATTTACTTGATGGTTTTATGTTGGTGAGACCTTAGCCGCTCATCACTTATCTTTTCACGTGTGGTAGAGAACGGGAGTGTGTGTGTAGTTCTCTGTTTGCTGTTCACATAGCGCAGTTGAAAAACTATTTAACAGGTGCTTTGAGCTATCTAGTGATGACTCATTGGTAAAGGAGAGAATAGTGGCTACTGCCCAGTATGTTTTGAAGCAGGAGGAAGGGTTGTGTTTGAACTGTGTGGCCACAGTTGCTGTCTCCTATTTGATGGGACAGGAATATTAAAATAAGGGGGAAATTATACAAAGAAAGAGAAAAACAGCAAAAGGAAATAAGGGGGGGAGGGGAAACAGCCTAAAAGGATGTGGAGCAACACAAATTCTACTTAATTCCTAGTGGAAATGAAAAATGGTATCATCACTTTGGAAGATTGTCATAGTGTCTTTGAGCACTAAACATAGGCCTTTTTAAAAAAGTGGTGGAATTACTCTGCACAACACTCTAATGGTCGGTATGGGAGATAGTGCCTCTGTCCAACTCCAGAGCTGTGCATGACAAACAGTGAATGGGCCTCAGTGAATAATGTGTCAGTACAGATTCATTAATTGTATGAAAAGTATCATATTAATGCAGTATTTTAATAATAGCAGAACTTGTTCTGGGAGAACTTGTGCCGCATAAATCTATAGGTTATTCAGAGACTCCACTTTCTGCGCAATTATTCTATAAATCTAAACTTCCCTTATAACTAGACTATTAAAAATGTTTACTCCTTAAATGTCATACTTTTTATCCTGCCTAGAATTCTAGCCAGTCATACTTTCTTCATGTAATTACTCCTATAGAGTTTGAGTTTCAGAGACGATCTAAGTAGCATTACACCCAGCAGTCAGTAGACTTAAATTATCGAATCAAATCATTGAATACTACAATGGCATATGAAAGAGACAGATAACCTAATTTCTCTGGGTTACCTTATTGCTGGAAGTTTGTTATAGATGTTTATTTAGGAGTATGAGATTGCAGATCTAATAAGATTAGGATGAGGAGTAGGTCAACATTTGAAATGATTCTGAACTAAATGGATAGCCTTAGAGAAACTTGGCCAAGGACCTTCAGAAGAGCCAGGAATGGCTATTGATAATTATGGGAATATTTACTTTAGATTTCTGTTCTGAAAAAAATTGTCAGATAATTCAAAATCCATACTTTTATTATATATTAAGAAATTTTCAGCCATGCTCCCAGGCCGACCTCTGCTGGCCCTCAGCCCCTTGGCCTCTTGGGCCAATTCTGCTCCTACCCTGCTGGGGCAACTGTTACAGAGCTCTTTCGGTCTATTGGTAAGCGCCCCAAGATACCACATGATCTAGCCACAGTGACACATCGCCCCAACTTTCAAGGATTCTATACACTATATTTGCATGGACCCACCCAATCACTGTGTGCGAGTCACAAAGAAGGGCGCTATTTAGTAAATCACTACACTGTAGATAATGAAAGGTTGAATTACATCTCACCTAGCATTTGTGTGTGATCCCTAGAAAGAAAGAGACCTGGAAGAAAAAAAAATGTATTCGAAAAGCCAATGGGAAAAGCTTTGGTATGGTGGGAAGAATGAAGGTCCCGTTCCAAACTCCTTTTGGCAAGAGTCTTCTGTTGTGAATGTCAAGCGCATGGGCTTTAATCGAGATTCTGCCACCATTCAATGAGGGGACATTTCCAATGACAGGGAGAGATGCAACCAACTTTATTTATTTATTTTTCCTTTATTTTTTTTTAACATTTTATTAGGGGCTCATACAACTGTTATCCCAATCCATACACACATCAATTGTGTAAAGCGCATTTGTACATCGTTCCTCAAAACATTTTCTCTCCATTTAAACCCCCGACATTAGGTCCTCATTTTTCCCCTCCCTCTCCACTCCCACCTCCCGCATGAGTCTTTGATAGTTTATAAATGGGTATTTTCTCATATCTTCCCCTGTTTGACGTCCCCCTTCACCCACTTTTCGGTTGTCTGTCCCCCAGGGAGGAGGTCACACACAGTTCCATGTAATCGATTCCCTCTTTCCTACCCATTCTCCCTTTACCCTCCCTGTTTTGCCACTCACACCACTGGTCCTATAGGGCTCACCCGTCCTGGATTCCCTATATTTTCAGTTCCTATCTGTACCAGTGTACCACCTCTGGTCTAGCCAGTCTTGCAAATCGAATTCGAGTCATGGTAGTGGGAGCGGGGAGGGAACATTTAGGAACTAGAGGAAAGTTGTATTTCTCATCGTTGTTACATCGCACCCTGACTGGCTCATCTCCTCCCTGAGACCCCTCTGCAAGAGGATCTCCAGTGGCCTACTAATGGGCTTTGGATCTCCACTCGCACTGCCCCTATCATTCACTATGGCAACCAACTTTAGTAACACTTTTCTAAAACTTTTTTCAAGATGAGCTCAGGCATAAAAGGGATCAATGAAGACCACACAGATAAGTCAGGATAAGAATTCAGTCCTCTCAATGGTCCAAACTGTTCCCCATCAAATACCACTATCTTTTAAATCGTCCTATCTATGTCTCCATTTGCTCATTTCCCCCCCAAATGAATAGGATGAATCCAACCATTTGTGAATTCCATGATGTTTTGGAATTTTCCAAATTTGTTCCTTTTGTTTCATAAGCATGCATTAGGCAATGTCAATAGTATATGCAGTTAAAAGTTCAGAGCTCTGTAATGGAAAGGAGAGAAGTTCAGATGGGATGCAATGGTAGATGAGTGTCAGAGTCAGGTCGTTCTGACGGGCTTTAGTTCTTTCTGGCAGATCCATTTATTTTCTGAACTACAGACCTCAGAAACAATTTTCTTATTTGAGAGGAGAGCACAGCTGTTTTTATCATGATCACCAGTAATTTGTAATCTGTGGAACAAAAGAAAACATCTCTGTAAATGGTAAAGATTTTCTTACTAATTCTCCTCGTGCAACCCAGCATTCCTGGGATTTTCAGCAAACAATTGGATGCTAAATAATGAAACATTGAGGAACTACATCCACAAACATAATGGTACACACTTTGAAAAAACTATAAGCTCATATAAAACTCAAGAACTTATTGGTTCATCTTCACTAACTAAGAATTCCTTTAAAAAGAGCCTTCATAAGGATGAGAGCCGGAGAGAGAGTATTGGAGGTTGGGAATTGAATACCCCGTTTTACTACAAAGATGCCAAAAGCAAAGTTTCTAAACTTCACTGAAACGCATTAAAAATATATATACATATTAGAAGGTAATGACCACCTAATCTTTGGAGGAGACATGGCAATGGTGGTCATAAAATGTAACCCTGTCTAAGAAAATGTGCTCTGTAAAGTAGTATGTATCTAGAAGGCAATAGACATGCAGCCTCTATAATATCGAATGCAACTAGGGAAAGAGTGAAGGTTTGCCTGGTAGGTAGTCAGTTTCTATCTCCCTCAGCAGGTTGACATTAATATTAAACGTTAGTAGGCATTTCAAGCATGTATGAATCACTATCGGTTGAGGAGTCAATAGAATACAAACAAAGGGATGGGCAGTACCAAGGTTAGCCTGTAAGAAGAGTGTGGGTCAAGACTCACCTATTTGTATCTAACAGAAGATGAGGGGGTGGCACAGGGCAGTACTCTTTCCCAGCTTCTTGCTCCCGAGTTCTATTTCTTCAAGGAGCCCCTTGGACCTGAGCAGCTAATCTGATTTCTTTCTAGTGCCGCCTATGTCAGTCCTCCTAAGAGGTCTACTGCAAAAGTCCCCTAACGTGTATCTGTTCCACTAGTCCAGTTCTTCTTTCAGTTTTCCGGGTAAGTATGACAAAAAAGACTGAACATTTCAAAATGTTTCCGATGGTTTCCTGGGCTCTGCATGAGCATATATCTGTTTAATTCGATGTTTTATGACATTATCTCTTTGATCTCTAATACAGTTCAGGAAAGAATTACTATGTTTTTCTTTTTTGTTTATTTAAAAGCCAGGGCTTGGAAGGGTTAAAATAAAAGCAGAGTCTAACTGATACACTTTATATCTTAACAAGGTGCCTTTCAGGTGTTCAGAGATGACTAGGAATGGTTTTAAACAAAACTTCATTTTATTCTCAGAATAAAATGAGAAGTTCCACTTAATTTAGTATGTAACCTGTACATGCATTTTAATGAATGGATTTCAATTTCTATTTTTACTATGAGCAACAATAAAACCTTTTAGTTTAACTTTGCATCATGATCAATAAAGATGAATATAAAGTTCATAAACCAATATTAACTGTTACTACATATAAAATAAAACTAAGGCTGTAAATTTTTCTCCTTTTGTTTATCATTTTAATCTTAATTGTGATATAAAAAATTATTGTCATGACTCACTAAGGCATTTGTTTAACTGTTAAAATACTATTTTGAGAAATTATGCATGTCAACACACTAATTTAGATATTTTTTACTGATCTACCCTTTCAAACGAGCTAGCCTATTCCTTGCTTTCTAAAATTTCAAGCAAAAATATATATTCTATTGATATATTTTCATAAATGAAAATTTCAACCAACTTTTTTTTTTAATTTCAACCAACTTTTAATTCATCTATTGTCTCTGCTTATTCTGAATCTATTGAGAATTTATAAACTTAATAAAAACTACAAAACCCAATCTTCAACGACAAGCAATGCAATACATTGCAGTGTATATTGGATATGAATGGAATATTAAAATGAGTTCAGCTAATACTCACACATCAGAATTTAAAAATGAGCCATTCATCCACTTCCAGTTCTTCTCTGGCAATGTAAAATTTAAACCAATCCAATATAGAATTCCTTCAGCTTGTATCAGGTGCTGTATGAGACGCTATAAATGAAACAAGAGAAATGACTACATACTGAAATGGTTTATATATTTAGTGGCTGCCTTGTTTTACTCATCCCCTTGAATTGTTCTGACCCTATTCAAGCATCATTCTATCCTGACTTTTGACAGGATTAATCACTGCATCCATCATATAATTTTCCATTGTTTTTTATGTGTATGAGATAGTGAGCTTCCTAAATTCGTGTTTATTTCCATTGGCACAGAACCTTTGGATTAAAACCCAAGCACTTCAACATGATTTAAAGAATGTGCTAATTTTTAGGAAGGTCTTTTATTAATTATTTACCAGTTCTACCTCATCTTGAATAAGTAGCAAACTGGAATCTCTTTGGTAACAATCTGCCAAGCTGTCATTCCAGTAGTGTTGAGTGTCAAAGAGAAACAAGCATTTCTCATGGACTTGATGCCAGAGAATTGGGCACTCTACTGGACTCGGTCTCTCTAAAGTAAGAAAGAAAGATATAATTTTAAAAGTGGATAAAAGACATGAACAAACAGTTCACCAAGAATAATGTTCAAATAGGTAGCAAACACATGAAAATATACTCACAATCATTAGCCATCTGGGAAGTGAAGATCAAAACAACGATGAGTTATCAGTTTATACCCACAACTATAGCCCAATTCAAAAATACAGAGAACAGTAAATGCTGGAGAGTGTCTGGAGAGACTGGACCTCTTATACATTGCTGGTGGGCTTGTAAACATGGACAAACACTGTGGGAAGTGATATGGCACTTCCTAAAACAGCTAGGAATAGAAATGCAAAACCAAACTTACTGCCATTGAGTCCGTTTCAATTCAGAGTGACCCTACAGCACAGAGTACAATGTCCCTTATGGGTTTCCACGCATGTGACTCTTTATGGGAATAGAAAGCCTCATCTTTCTCCCATGGAGTGGTTTCAAACCACTGACCTTATGGTTAGCAGTGAAACACATAGCTAATATGCTACAAGGATCCTAGAGATGCCATAGGACCCAGGAACACCTCTTGCTGGGGTAAATACCCCCCACCAGTAAGAAACATGACAAGAACAGACATGTTCTCCCATGTTTATCACAGCACAGCTCACAATAGCAAGAAGCTGGAAATAGCCAAATATCCATGAGTAGAAGAATGGAGTAAAGAAACCCTGGTGTTTACACACAATGGAATACTATGTGCCACTAAAAAATGGTGATGAAACCACACAACTTACCTCATTATATGGATGGGCCAGGAAATAATTATGCTGAACAATGTTAATCAATCACAAAAGGACAAACATTTGCGTGAGACCAGTACTATAAGGATAGACACCAAGAGAAAGAGAGGCATTCTGTTCTCAGATCATATAATCTTCTAATCCAGTTTCCGAAGCAACTGATGTGCCTGCTTAATGATCATGATCTATCCATGTATCACCCCCTTGTTGGGACATCTTGAAAATCACTTCACAGAGGAAGCCTCATCTCAGTTGACATCGGTTTCTTTTGTGGAGGGAGAAGAAGAAGACCAATCCGTTTCTGCCATATAACATTATTTTATGGTCACCCCAAATCACCAGACATCACAAACATCCTGCAAGGGCATTGAGTGAACTTTAATGGAAATTCAAGTCCAGAAGTCTAGGAAGAGACATTTTTGTCTCAGAGAAGGTGAGTCTATTGGTGGGTCAACCAGATGAAGAAATCTGTCATTAGAGAAACACTTCATTTATACAGACCCCCAATGGGAGCCTACATCAGGCATTGTGTTCCTAATTGGGCACCTTTGTCCCAGTTTTTATCAGCCTTTGGTGACCCAAATCACGTGCTATAGACAACTGGGACTTTAGACCCTGTTCCTTTGAGATGCACAACTTCCTTCAGAGACTACACAAGAACCATCTAATTTGGAAACTCCACTAAGTCAACTCGACTTTACCTTAAGCACATAATCTGTAACAGATTAATGGAACTAAGATATCGTACTCCCTTTGACTTATGGATGGAATGCCCTAATGTGAGAAGCAGATGACTACTATCCCAAAGTCATGTATTCGAAAGTCATTGAACTTTCATTCAAATGTCTTGTGTTGAGGGTGTCTATTAAATAGCAACTCCAGACTACCAGACTACATATATTTGCTATTTTCATGTTTTCTTTGCATTTTTATGACATGCATACAAACTTCAGCAGGTATAGTTCTGCCTTTGTGGATGAAACTTTTGAAAGTTTTGCCCTATCTCCAACTCTCATCATTTGGGTAGAGTGTCTAGTCACTTAAAATTTTAATTTGTACAAGTTAACAAACCATGTATTTTAGTCTATAAAGCTGGCCTACACATGTATACCTTCCTTTTTAAAAAAACAATATTTTTAATTCTTTATCATTGGCTAAATTAATGATAATATCAATAGAATTATTACATATTACATAGGGATGATTTATAATGTTTCCAATAAAATAATAGGAATGACTCTAAATTGAACCAAGAGCTAACATAAACCATAGTTATATGAATGATTTTGAGGTCACACTTAATTGTAGTCCTAATTTAAGAACAATTAGTTCTTGTGGTGTGGCCCTACTTAATACTCACCCTCATGAAGAGGTCACTGAAGATTGAAGGTATGGGTGCTATAGCAAGGTGTGGCAAAGAACCCAGGTGGTGCTTGGCTATAGGCACAAATAGTGTCTGGGGGTCTTAGAAGCTTGTCTTAAAACAGCAGCCATCTAAGTGAAATATGAGCTAAATCCACACAGAAGAAGCACACTAGGCTGTGTGATCCAAGGACTGTAAATAATAAAATGCAAGACTGGAGGAGGGAACAGTATTGGAGCTTAAATTCTGAACAAACATTTTCAGAAGGCTACAGAGACAGAAAATTCATTTGCAGGGACCCCACATGGATACAACCTCCAGTGAACTCCCTTTGACCATTGACCAAAGATGGCAATAGCTTTCCAATCAGCCCAAATGCATTGGAAGGCAGATCGATGCAAATATAGTTAGAGTCAAACGTAACCCCTTACCGTTTGTTCTCCCTTTTGACCCATTTAAATTTGTTCTAGCTTTTAGTATTTTCTGCTTTCTTTTCAATTGACATTTTTCTCTGTTTTATTTTGTTATTCTTGATGGGTTATTCATTTTACTTTTATTTTTTTAGTTTCTTTGTACATGAAATCCAGTATAGATCAATCTGTAGATTTACCTGATTAATAGTATCTTAGGGGTGTAGCAGAGGAGGTTGGGGGAGGAAGGGGGGTATGAGAAACTTTCAATAATGAATACAAGAAAAAAAATATTCTAAAATTGATTGTGGTGATGATTGCATAACTCTTTTTAATATAATTAAATAATTGAATTGTGTGATATGTGAATTATATGTCAATAAAACTGTTACAAAAGGAAAAAAAGAAGAAATATTATTGTTTCCATCTGTCCTCATGCCACTGCAACAAATCTCACACATGTAATAAGGAAGATCAAAAAACAATTAATGCATTGGATGTGGTGCTGGATAAGAATATTGAAAGTCCCATGGACCACCAAAAGAACAACCAAATGTGTGTTGGAAGAAGAACAAGCAGATTGCTGCTTAGAAGCAAGAATGATGTGATTTCATCTCGTGTAATTAGATATGTTATCAGGAAAGATCAGTCCCTGGAAAAGGACAGCATGCATGGTCAAAAAGGGCCAAGAACCTGAGGAAGAGCCTCAACTGGATGGCTTGACCCGGTGGTTGAAGCAATGGGCTCTCACAGCATTCTCCTGCACAAAGGGATCAGTTTGCATCCGATAAGAACAACTATCCATTATCTAGAAAGAAATTTTGCAGACTTCTTTTAATATCTGTTTGGTAAGCGTATATGCTGCAATCACTCAACAACAATTGCCTTTATTCAAATCCACGATACACCAGAGCCCTTGGTGACTTAGTGGTTACACCTTGGGCTGTGATTCACAAGGCTGACACTCTGAAACCACCAGCAGCTCCTGAGGAGAGAGACACGGCTCCTCCGTAAACATTACAGTCTCCAAAACTCCCACTAAGAGTTATAGGCTCAGGGACTCATAGGGGCAGTTCTACCCTGTCCTATAAGGTCACGATGAGTTGACATCGACTCAATGGCAGTGATTTTGGCTTGGTTTTGGCTATGCAATGGAGCAAGAGTAAAATAGCTATATGTTAAAGAAATTGGATACATATTAAAGAATTGGAGCCCTGGTGGTTTAGTGGTTATGCAGTGTGCTGCTAACCAAAAGGTTGGCAGTTCAAAGTCACCAATTGCGCTGAGGGAGAAAGATAGGCTTTCTACTTCCATGAAGAGTTACAGTCTCAGAAACCCATAGGGGCAGTTCTACTATGTCCTATAAGGTGAATCTACTCGATGGCAATGAGTTTGGCTTTAATTAATTCTGTATTTTTAATACTATCAATTCATTTTAGAGGAAAGTTAACAGTTGAACACCTTCGTTAAAACTATCAGCTGTGCCAATTACTCTGGCACAAACCCCTTATGTTGCACATGAGTACATCCTGGTTCACAGAATAGTTGGCAATGCCTAGAGTTAAACTAAGATCTTCACATTTCTAGTGTGAGGAGCTCCCCACATTTGAATCACTGACTTGTGTCTACTCCACATCCCTTTATAAAGTTGCATTGTCAATAAGGGTCCTTTGTAAGCAAGTGACTCCAATGAGCAGAAGGACATTTAGATACTGATGACAATTTTGCTACCAACCATTCTTTATACTCTTAACCAAAGTTGTGATTTTAAACAGAAATGTTTGTCCTCTTGCTTTGTTAACAAGAAATCGTTTTTCAACCAAAAAAAACACCCATTAGTTATTCAATTTATGTGCACATTTTACTTGACATTTGGCTATCAATTCATGAATGGCCTAGCAGCTGTATAACGTGGTGAATCAGACCAAAGACATAGGAGTCAATTTACCTAAGTACAAGCCTGGGTGTTAACCACTTTCTAGTCATGTGACCTAGCACAAGTTACTTAGCCTCCCTAAGCCTCAATTTTCTAAATCCAAAATCAGGGTGATAAGCATTATTTCTTACACAAGGGATTGCTATGAGTCTAAAATAAGGTAATTAATGAAATCTGTTACATTTTCCTTAAGGAGCTCAAGCCAGAAAGTTACCTGTTGTTTGGGTCCTGTGTTCCTCTGGAGTATCCACATTACATTTTTCTGCTGATAAATTTCGACTTAAAAATATCACTAGTAAATACAAGAAAACCAATTAAGAAGATTAAATGCAGAAATGTATGGCTGACTGAATGGAAACCTGATATTGATCACTTCTCTATGAAACTGAAAGATATAGAATCAATAGTTTTAGCTTCACTTGTAACTTTGGCAGGAAACTGTGTCACCTCAGCAAGCTTGAATAGGGATAAAGGTAAAGGCATTCATAATTTGGTAAAAAGAAGTTTTTCTAAGAGGCAACCTACACACACAAGAAAAAACATAATTGGTAGTCTCACACAAATAATCCATTATCTGTTGCCAATTAGATAAGTAAACTAAAGGTTATACCAAAACAAAACATCAAACTCATGACCATTTAGTTGATCCCAAATGTCCTATAACAACCCTATAGGGCAGGACAGGACGGAACTGTCCCTGTGAGTTTCGAAGTCTGTAGCTCTTAAGAGGAGTAGAAAACCCCATCATTTTCTCTCAAAGAGGGGCTGGTGGTTTCCAACTTCTGACCTTGCAATTAGCAGCCCAACCTGGTACTAAAGAACACCTAAACCAATTACATTCTTAGCAAAACTTTCTCAATTTTAAAGTAAGTATACTTATGCTGATTTATTCTAAAATTGAGAGACTGCTCAGTCCAATCTGGAATTTAGCAAGTTCTCACTATGAGTGAGAATCATTTTGGTAGCCCTGGGTGGAGGCCTGCTGGTTCTGTGGAATAGGTGTGGGGTTGCTAACCACATCCTGTCATGTTCAAACCCACCAGTCTCTCGAAAGGACAAAGATGATGCGTATGTTTCTATAAAAATTGACCATCTCTGAAACCCTACATAGAATCACTGAGTCAGAATTGACTCAGTGCCAATGCATTTGGCTTGGGTTTGTTTTTAAATCATTTTATTAGGGGCTCCTACAACTCTTATCACAATTCATACACACATCAATTGTGTGAAGCGCATTTGTCCATCCATTGCCCTCATCATTCTCAAAACATTTCCTCTCCAATTATGGCTTGGGTTTTTTAAATGAAAAGCAAGACCTTGGTAATTCTTATTTTCATTGTTCTTGTCATTTTTCATCGTCCTTATGAATTATTATTTAAATTTAGCAGCAGAGGTGGATTACCATATACTGTACATGAATTTCAGAACAATTGGGAAGAATGGAAGACTGAAGTTTCCATAGACTCATTGCTTTGTTCCTGTTTTTATTTCACTGGTCCTTTGTCAAGTTTGCAGTGGCTGAATTATATTCAGGCTCTATCTCATCTTTATGGTGGAAGTAGAGTTAGTATTCTGAAACGACTGATCTCAGCTCACTTACCTGCAACACTCAGCCCTATCACAGCCAAGGCAAAGAGAAGAATCCCAGCACAGCCAAGTTTCAGAGCCCAGTGATGCCAGCGTGGACCCTGACAAACATCTGAAAAGTTAGGGTAATACACAAAGTTAACTCAGTTGACTTCAATAATCAAAGTGGTTGGGCTCACGCATGGCAAGATTCTGGTTGGAGACAAGGGCAGGGGCAGGAAAGAATATTCATCAGCCACCTTAGAGACTCACAAAGCAAATTCAATGAGATTCAAAGAGAGTTTGATCATGGCTAAAATTGGAATACATAAGGTCATCTTAGGTACAAAGGTTTGGGCTGAAATTCCAAAAACATAAATGTGTTTAGAATGAGAAAAACTTGGAAAAGGATAATGGGTAGGTTGAATTGTAAGATGAATATAATGCCATGAAATTGTATATATGAAAAAATTTGAAATAATGAATGTTGTTACTCATATTTATCACAATAAAACATAGCTAAGAAATACTTTGAAGCATCCAAGTGATCTACCAAAAAATGAGGTACATATCCTATTGTAGGAAATTTGCCAAAATATTTTGGGTTATCATCTGGTACTATTTGGGACACGCTGTGCCAATAGAAGTGGAAAAATAGGAGTAGATGTCCATAGGGGATTCCAAGACTCTTGGAACATAGCTGAATATCAAGAAACAAAGCTTGGTAATATTGACTTGGAATGTCGTTGTCTTTTCATTACTTCTCCTCCTCTTCCTCCTCCTCTTCCTCTTCCTCCTCCTCCTCCTCCTCTTTTGTTGCCTAGACCTTCTAATGAGAAGCAGTAACACAATTGGGAAAACCTATTAAGCCTAAGCCCAACACTAAGCTATCTTTCCCAACCAGTTATCTATCATTACCCTAAATACTGGGTCAATGCCCTGGAGGGATGGAGCTCCCTGTTGGAAAAGGGAAGGCAAGTATAGAAGGTGCAAAGGAGAGCTTTGAGTTAGAGCAAGGGCTGTGAATATCAGGAACGCCTCCAGAAGATCCAATCAGAAAACCTGGTACAGGGAAGGGAATTTGGAGTCAATGCTATGGTACCAACCAACCCTTCTCTACTGCACTGCTTTGCCCTATTTACCCCAGTCTCCTCATGGGAACTTGTCATTTACTCCTGGACCACCACAACTGGTCTTCCTCATGGGGAAACTTTCAACACTTCACTAGCTTTTGCAGTGGACTTTTCTCACAGGAGCCGATGGGCGCCCATAACCGCCCAGTGCCTTCTCTCTCTTCTCCTTGAACACAAACACCATGGGATCCTCCTGTCACCAGTCTGATGAGAGGCCTCCTGAGCCTGATGAGGGATGTCCCATCTCTGTCTCTGTTCTCCCCAGGACCAAGCATGGAACCAGATTGAGACCTGATATAGGGCACCAAATTTGTTACCCCAAAGATTAGGTCCATGCCCTGGAGTGATAGAACCTAATTAATAACCACTCTGAGTGGAACAGAGAAAGAGAATAAGCTGTTTATTAGGAAGCTAGCTGATTGAGCATCCGTCAGCAGCAAAGGCTGTTCATCGAGTGCTCAGCTCACTTCAGCTTACAGTCAACCTTTATACTATTTTCTTAGCAATGTCAATTATATAAGATATGCAGGTGGGCTATAATTCTTAGGGTACTATAAAACATAGTAAGTACATCAAACACAATGGGTACATAAAAGTAACCCTATAATTCATTAATTCCCGGATGACTACCCTTTAGCATCTTATACAATGACTGAGAAAGCTGGAGAGGTCAAATCAATGCCAAGTCGGATTCAAATAGTAAATAACCATTAAAAATCCTATTTGAATCCTTGGAATGCTGTTAAAGCAGGCAATGAAAAACATTTAACCCACCTCAACAAAATTAATTATACAGAAACATGACGGATTCCAATCAAAATGGTTGCAGCCTTGCTCACAAGTCTTCCTCACCACTCACACTGTGTCCATTAGCTCGTCATTCTGTCTCTTCTCTTCTTCAGCCTTTCTTTCCTTGAAATCCAGTTTTCGTTGCAAGATGAAGAAAATGCCATGTAGTCCCTATTGCAACAGTTATTGCTGAAGGGTAGCTGTGATTCTGAAGAGTAGATTTGAGTTTGTGGACGCTACTGACAGCTTTCTGACTTGGATAACCTACGAAACCTCCCCAAACCCAAATGTCCTCATCTGTAAGATGGAGAACTAGTACCTACTCCCTACGGTTTTGGAGTGGATTCTATTATGCAGTGATTTTAAATGCTGAGCATAGTGTCTGGTGCATACTAATGGTTCAGGAAATATTGGTTATCATTTTTCTTATTTTTAAAATAAATTTATAAGAAACAAGTTGGGATGACTCCATAACGTAGCTATTTACTCCTGATACTACCTAAGGAAGTAGGTGGAGGTTCTCTGGGAGGAATCTTCCCCTGCTGTGCTTCTGCCACACAGCAGAGGGTGAGATTAGAAGGGGTGGAGTGACTGAAGAGGCCAGGCAAACTTTACTTAGCTGGCAGTATTCACTAGAACTACTCTTTGTTTTAATAATATATTCATTTATATCATATAACTGCTCCAACCCTCTCTATGGCTTTACATCAATTAGACTGGAATCTATAAAATGTCCGCTCAACCTGGCATATCATTACTTCTCTGATTTCAGCTTATTTAGGAGTGCAAATATACTTTCTGTTGTCCTCCACCTTCCAGAATTAAGCTCTGGCAGAAAATTGTCCTGATAACAATACTCCCTGATTGCATAGTTGTTCATGGATTGGGCTGCTAACTGCAAGATCTGAAGTTCAAATCCTCCAGTTGCTCAGAGGGAGAAAGATGAGACTTTTTACTCCCATAAAGAATTACAGTCTCAGAAACCCACAAGGGCAATTCCACCCTGTCCCAGAGTCCTATGAGTTGGCATAGACTCGATGGCATGAAGGTGTTTTTATCTTTTAAAAAAATCTGCTTAGCTTTGCCTGATTAAAAAAAACCCAACCAAAAACATAGTAGGTGTGTGCCCTTCTCTGAGCTCCATTTGCTGATCCAATTTCTAGAAGGCCTCTTCGAAAGAAAAGACCTCTCTCACATGCTTCTTTGGGTCTTGTAAGTTTCTCAGAGAGACTTTCCAATTGCATTTGGAACCTTCTCAAAATTTAATACTCCCATATTATAATCTTTCTTGCCAGCAGTCAATACCACAGAATTATATCTATGCTTGATTGATCAACTTACCTCAGTAATTGGATGAACTCCATGAAAGCAAAGATTTTCCTTTATTTTTTTCATTGTTGTATCCTCAGCACCTAGATTATACCTGGCCCATAGTAAGCACTTATTGTGATATGAATGGAGATAGTTTAAAGGCATTTGGAAAACACTCTGCTTGCTTTTCTAAAATTTAAAGGCCTGCCTTGGCCATTAAGTGAGGCACTGACCCCATTTCTCTTTCTGGGTTTAGTTGACTTCATAGATGAAATCAGCCAGCTCTCACACCGTTTTTTAACAGCTTAGCCAGAGAACCCAGGAGTGTTTTCAAAATCATTGCATTTTCAGGTGAGTGGTCTAGATTCACACATTTTTCTCTGACATTATTCTATTATTATTTTTTTCAGGTTTACTTTTAGGATACAATTTTGTAATTATGATGACTACATTGTGTTTTTTAAAAATCCCATTGAATTTGAAGCTTAGTGGCTATTGTGTAAATGAAGTCATTGTTTACATATTTTCTGACATTCGTTTTCAGCGTGGTCCCATATATGCCCTCTCCACTTCCATTGGTGGAGATACAAGCGAGCAAGAAAAAGTCTTAGTCTTCTCCCATTAAAAAGTAACTGAAATGTGACCAAGTTCTTCTTGCTGTTATCAAAACCTTCCAGTTTCCCTTTCCATGATATAAAGATTATAGAGAAGCTTATTGGATGATTCCCAAGACTTGCTTCGTGATCTAGAACTTGACTAATCTAATTTTCAAATGTACATCCAACAATTGTAAAAAAAGGTACAATCCACACACTCAGCACAATATGGAATGTCTATCAGAGCCGATAATAATTGCGATAGCATTGATGCCAGTAAATTCCGTTAGGTTGCTATTACAGTGAGATAGCAACCTATTCCTTAAAATACTCATGTGTTAATATGTGCAAAATGTTGTTTCTTTAGAGGCTCTTTCATTCCATTAAACTGAGTTAAAGCTTAAGTCTTTAACTCAGTTAAGCACCTATTAACCAAAAATATGATGGTTCAAATCCACTTAGAAGTTCAGCCTAGTGAATGATGGGGGGAGTGCCGAGTGGAGACCCAAAGCCCATTAGTAGGCCACTGGAGATCACCTTGCAGAGGGATCTCGGGGAGGAGATGAGCCAGTCAGGGTGCGATGTAACAACGATGAAAAATACAACTTTCCTCTAGTTCCTAAATGTTTCCTCCCCGCTCCCACTACCATGACACGAATTCGACCTTGCAAGTCTGGCTAGACCAGAGGATGTACACTGGTACCGATAGGAACTGAAAATCCAGGGAATCCAGGGTGGATGAGCCCTACAGGACCAGTGGTGTGAGTGGTGAAACAGGGAGGGTAGAGGGAGAGTGGGTAGGAAAGAGGGAACCGATTATAAGGAACTATATGTGACCTCCTCCCTGGGGGACGGACAACAGAAAAGTGGATGAAGGGAGACGTCGGACAGGGCAAGATATGACAAAATACCAATTTATAAACTATCAAGGGCTCATGAGGGAGGGGGAAGCAGGGAGGGAGGGGAAAAATGAGGACTTAATGCCGGGGGCTTAAGTGGAGAGGAAATGTTTTGAGAACGATGAGGGCAATGAATGTACAAATGCGCTTTACACAATTGATGTGTGTATGGATTGTGATAAGAGTTGTATGAGCCCCTAATAAAATGATTAAAAATTAATATTAAAAAAAAAAACAATGAGTACAAGAAAAAAAAAGTTCAGCCTAGAAATCTACTTCTGAAAGATCAGACCCTTGGTAATCCTTTGGCACAATATCCTCTGCACACAGGGGATTACCATGAGCTGGAATTGAGTCAAACACCCTAGGAGCAGTAGTCTGAGAGGGCATATTTATTTTTCATACTATCTAGATTTTTTTTAAAAAAAGAAATCTAATCAGGTATGTTTTTCTCCTCCTAAACTCAAATTACCAAACTCTATTTAACAGTAAAATAGAATTGCCGCCGAACTTCAAATCAACAATTTACAAGCATAAATTTAAGCGGAAAAATGTAACTCTGAGAGATACACAAAAGGCAAGAAGAAATTATGCCACTTACCCCGGAGAAGTGATGGAGGTGATGAACTGACTGGGGCTGACTCCCTGGATAAGTTTAGATCCGCGTATGTCACTTGATTGTCCATTATACCGATGAGAGAATTCAGCATTAAACTTCTGTATGGGACCAAACTCCAAGACCTGTGAAGCAAGATCACCAGGAGGAAGTGCCAAGGTTGAAGTGCTTTGCTGTCTCTCATCAGTCCCCACCCGCCCACACTGCAACTTGAGGTTTTCTCCATAAGTTGGTCGGTCACTTTCTGGGTGACCATTATACTTAGAATGCAATATTTACTTGCTTAATTAATTGACCTGCTTCTTGCCAAAACTCTGGGCTGGCTTTGCTGTTGCTTCTCTGTGGTTGTGTTGTTAGACGTCATTAAGTCAATGGCAACTCCCAGGGACCACGGATGTGTCACAGAATAGAACTACCCGGTGGGGTTTTCTTGTCTGTATCTTTCTGGAAGCAAATCATCAAGTCTTTTTCTTAAGGAGTAGTTGGGTGGCAGTGAACCACCAACCTTTCAGTTAGGGACGGAGTGCTTTACCTTTAGGCCAGCAGCACTCCTTTCAGGACCAGGACAAAATGAATGAGGCACCTGTCCATTGTGAAGAATTTAAACACATGGGATCATGTAAGCTCATCAGATGCTAGAGACCATGAAACTGCTGAGACAAGTATTGCAACATTCCAAGCCTTTGAGACTAACATCAGAAAAAACAGGTGGAGTAGCTGTTTCAGAAAAAGAATGAATCGAATTTGGAAACTGATGATCAGAGGAACCAAGAGGAGAAAGAGTTATAGATGTTTCGGTTGCCTCAGCTGAAGGCCAGGTCCCAATAGGGACATCAACACCAGAAACACAGATGTCTGAAGAAGCAGATTTATAACTTGGTCCTGCCCTTAATTCTACCAGGCACAGTTTTCAGTGTAGTAGATAAGTAAGTGTTATTGATTTCACAGGCTATTAGTCACAGGTATCTGTACTCTTGGCACTAAGAAATAGTTACATCAATGCCCCCAAATATCAGAACTGATGACGTTCTTGAACTATCAACTTAATGGAATCATCTTGTCTTCATGCCAAAGCTTGGTAATATGCATTCATCCTTTCCCCATGGTCAAAACACACACACACACACACACACACACACAAAACAAAAAAAACCAGGAAAATTAAGAATACCATGCATTTCTGACCAAACTAGAAAATGTTTCATGTTTCTATGTTATGATTTATAAGTAATTTACATTTGTTCTAACTTACCTAACTTTATGCTCTTGAGTTTCTATGAAGTTTCTATTACTATATTATTAGGCTATTCATGGGTGAACAGCTGTATGTCTCGATTGCAGTCTCCTTTCTCTGCTAGAAAATATTTATCATCTTTTGTTATAAATATACATTTTATAAGTGTACTAAATTTTTTAAATCACAGTGATCAAGAAAATATTTAATGCAATGCTATAAAATGAAAAATAATGCAAAAATGTTCAGAATGGCATTCAAGAGCTTTAAACCTTCTTGAAGTGTTTCTGTGCCAAAAAATGGGACCATTTATCACTTTTATGAATAGTTGGGTTATATAAGAGGGACAGGCTCCTGAATAATATGACTCTAAAGGCAAAGTACTCACCATTAATAAACCACTCTTCGTTTAGTTCTTAAGGCACTCGGGGATATTATAGTCTCCACATAAGTAAAATGATTTGAAATCTGCCGGAGTTATGGGAAGTAGTAGATTCAGGTCTATGGAATTCCCAGCTCTGTCAGACATGGGATTTTCAGGCACAGAGCAGTAGAACAAAGTGGACCTTAGATGACACCAAGTCAGACCTTTTTAGATTGAAGATAAGAAAGAAGAAAACAAGGAATTTGCATAAAGTCATTTGCTGTGGTAGTGCAAGTCTTCAAATTTCCCCGACAGTAGAAACAGTCTCAGACTTTGAACACCAGGAAATATGTCTATTTCTAGCAGGAGATCGTATGTTGTGCCTATCATAGGGATGCACATGTATCCCCAAAAGATCACGGATGATTATGGAGTGATTTGTAGACAATGGTCAAAGCTGCAAAACCCACCCAGATAAGTACGTAGCTTATAACATATGCAGCTTTAAGATGATGATGAGGAAAACAAAAGGGGTTGCTGATTTTATTATGACCCTCGTAATTAAAAATATAAATAGTATTGTAGAAAATAAAGATTTCTGAGATGTCTTTTATATTTTCTTGGTTTTCTTGAGAGGGTTAAAGCGCTAGGGTGATGCACCCATCAATGATTATCTGCTATTACGTAGAAGATGGAGGCTTTTCCATTCTGGAAAATTTTCAGTTTTTAGTTCAATCTATCTAGTTTCGAGAACTAGCCTCCTAGATTGTTGAAAGATCTTGGCTCTCTCTCTCTATCTCTCTCTCTAGTACAACACAAATGACGTGCTTGCGCTTCCTGCTTCCTCTAACACAACATTAACTATTGTGATATTTTGTGGGCGGACAGAGTGAAGAGTGGTGTATGGCATATGCTCTGTATCTCAAAAACTAGAGCAGATAGGGGAAAAAGGTGCCATTCTTTGAATCAGCAGGTCAAATATTCCCGGAAGCAAGCCTAACATTTGAGGCAAAAAAAATGTGTGTTGGCCAGTGTTATTCTAAGAAAGTGAACAGCCATAGTGTTATCACTTGCTTATAGATCTGTCTGAGATGAACATTGCTAATGCGCTGATATTCTTGTAGCTGTCACTCAGTTCCAATGAGGCCTTGCATTATCTTGTGGTTTCATCTGCATGCTCTGGTTTTTCATTACGGAAAGTATTTTTTTAGGGTCTGATTTTGTTAAAATTTATGATATTTTAGTTGTAATATTATGGTAATTCATTTTGTGGACCTATACTAGATACTGATTTTTGAGAAGAAAGTAGTAATTAAAGGAAAAGGGGGAAAAAATAAAGCCTTCCCTTCAGTACAATGAAGTTGTAACAAATAATGTAATTCAATGTAGAGTTTACAAAACAATTCTATTGTTAGTATTAATTTAATGAACTGACTGTAGTAGCAATTGTACAATACTGCTTGATGTGATTGAACTATGGAAGGATATGTTATATGTATTAACTCCCAGTAAAAGGGGGGAAAATCAGTTTCCATAGCACTTCAAAAAATATTACATTTAAACAATTTATGTTATCACATATTATTTTGTTTAAAATTGGTAACAAGCACTATAAGGATTCTATCTGGTCTGATACAGGAGGAGGTCTAGGATGTGGGAAGGGACGCCTTATTTACTTCATTGGACGACACCAACCAACCCTTGTGACACCATCAACAATATTTTTCTCCATCTTCTTCCAAGTGATTGGACCAAATTTCACACACACATTTTTAATCACTCATTTTAAACATTAATATTTGGTGATGGTGAATAAGAAAAAGGAAAGAATATTCACTGAAAACATTGAAGATGTCAAGATAATGCTTAGAATATTTTCCCTCACCTCATGCCGCAATTGACGCACAGAATTGGAAAACGACCAATTGTCAGAGGAATAAAATAGCAGAATGGAGACGGAGAGGAAGTAACGAAGAATTCTCACTCTTCTACTTGTTTTGATGTTGACATATGGGCCTGTGAGCAACACGATTAGCTCATGCAAATATGAGTGATTAAAAAATGCAAAATTTAAGTACTTCTAAAAACACTTCGCCCCACCTAAGTAATCTTAAAATATTAAGAACATTCACTGTTTCTTAAACTCTTCTCCAAAGGTTTTCATAAACCTTCATGGTTATTTTATGATTAAAATCAATTTTAACCGTGGACAAAAGTAATGACTTGACTTTGCTTGGTTTTCTGTTGCCTGGTTGTTGCACTCATTAAACTTCAGTTGCAAAACCTAAATCCCAATATTTTAAAATCATTTTATTAGGGGCTCATACAACTCTTATTACAATCCATA